AACATTGAAGTTGCTGTTTAGTGGATAGGTGAGTGCGCTGGATCTTGTGTATTGTATTATTTGGCCCCCAGCAGCACCCCCATGTATGCATGTTCAGGTGAGTGCAACCAACCCCCCCTTGTTTTATATATATATATATATATATATATATATATATATATATATATATGCTTATTATAAAAAAAAATACAGAAAAATGCAAACAAAATGAAAACTTTTTTTTTTTTTTTACAGTTTTTGCAATAATAATGTGTGCATAATTAGTGCAGGTTAAGGAAAGTAAAAATAAATTCATTTAGTTGTTCTGATTTACAGAATATATAATGTGTCTGGGATTTTAAGCTTTTTTTGGTAGCTACAGGTCACAAAGCACAAGGAGTAAAGTACTATTAAGCCCTATTTTAGGCGGCTCTAAACGCCGCCGGGCGTAATAGTACGCCCTCCGGTCTTTCTATACTTACCCGGTCGCCGGCGATCCCACGCCGGCGATCGCGGTTGGGGGGACTCCCAGGGAGCCCCCCACTGCACGTCTGACCCCCTGGCAGCCCCCCTGGCCATGTGAGAGTGAGGTCCTTGCGAGGACCTCACAATCACATGGCCTGGGTAGCTGCCTCCTGCATTGCCAGCAGGGGGCTGTCTGTAATGACAGTTGGTCCCCCTGCTGGCTGGAAATAAAATAAGTTAAAATAAGTGTAAAAAAAATAATAATATACTTAGATCATATATATATGATCTAAGCATATATATATACACACACACACATATACTGTCTAGGTGTATTTTACTATTAATATATATATAAATATATATATATATATATATATATATATATATATATATATTAATATCAAATTACACATAGACTGATACTGATTAAATATATATATATATAATTATTGTTATATATATTTATATTTAATATAAAAAATTCAATATGTAAATACGTAAAAAAATAAAATGAAAAAATAATTTAAAAAAATAATTAAAAAATATATAGATGTGTGTTATTTCGTTCTAACTATTGTGATATTAATATATATATATATATTTATATCAAAATACACGTAGAACGAAATAATATATATATCTATATACATAAATATATACGTATATATCACTATATACCTATATATAAATAAAAATATTTAAAAAAATTATATATATATATATATACATATATATACACATACGTATATATATATATATATATATACATATATTAATTCTACATATATATTTATGTAATATTTTTACATAATTATGTATCTTAATTAATTACAATTAGCGGGACCTGCCTGACAACCCATGCCGAAAGTAAAGGGAATTTAATTTGCTAGCACTATATTTAACCCTATAACTTTCCAAGACACCATAAAACCTGTACATGGGGGGTACTGTTCTACTCGGGAGACTTCGCTGAACACAAATATTAATGTTTCAAAATAGTAAAATATATTACAACGATGATATCGCCAGTAAAAGTGAATTATTTTTGCATTTTTCACGCACAAACAGCACTTACATGGACGATATTATTGCTGCGATACTTTTTACTGTTTGGAAACACAAATATTTGTGTTCAGCGAAGTCTCCCGAGTACAACAGTACCCCTCATGTACAGGTTTTATGGTGTTTTACAGCGTCAAATATAAGCAGTAAAATGTAAAAGAATTAAGGTTAATAAGTCCAGGACTTAGGTGCTCCAATCACCAATGTGAGTCACTTATCACATAAAACGAATAAAACAATATACAACAAATGTGAATGGTGAGAGCACACTATATAACTTTACCCTTATTGTACATAAAGTTCCATTTGAAAATCTAAAATCAAGAAGAGAAGAACATATAGGGTAATAACGTAACTACTATGATTATTAAATACTGTAGATGGTAAAACTCACATGGTCATGAGCCACTTATAAAAGCTGGCTCAGACTAACAGCATATCAAATCAGCGTATGTAAAGTTGAACTCCAAGCTAAATTCCCTCTGTGGTCCTCAGCCTTAATTGCTTCAATCAATTCAGGATGCAGGAAGTGATGAAACACAAAAAAGCTTTTATTTCCACATACTCTAGGTAGCTGGATACAAATATAACAAACACTGAAATTGTAAAAAAGTCCTCTTTAGTATAAAACTTGACGCGTTTCGGCATATAGCCTTTATCAAAAGTTCATCCATCTTCCTCTTTCTTTCTCATTTAAATACCTTTCTTTTAGCGCTCTTCTTCCCGCCGGCTGTGGTTCCTTCCTTCTTCCGGTTTCCAGTATCTGGCCGCATCCTCGCCGCTTTCCGGCGTCTGGCCGCATCCTCACCAACTGCCGCCGGAAGCTCTCGTACCGCGGTGCGTGCCGCCCGGCCATGCTACACTGAGTGACTGGCAGGAGGGAGCACTGTGCGCTTCACTCCTGCCTGGTCACTCGAAACTTGCACCCTAGGCGACTCCCTAAGTCGCCCATAGGATGCGCCGGCCCTGCTGGTATATGAAAAGTGCTGACCTACAATATATATGAGTAAGGCAATATGCCCCAGGAGAAATAAGGAATTAGGCAATATGTCCCACTGACTCACTGACAGACAGACACACTCACAGACCCACACATTTTTTTTGTAAATTTAAATCCACCCAGCTGGGTGGATTTTTTACCTGGGGTCCAGTTGGGCTGCTGGCTGTTTGGGCAAGAAGGCAGGCGGGCGGTCAGCTGAGTTCCAGACGGGCGGCGAGGCACCGCTGATTTGTGAGCATATACCGGCTCCCAGGATCACTCTGCGGCGCGCTGGAGTTCAACCGATCAAACAAGTCTTTGCGGGCAAACAAGTCCTGCAGGACCACTAACGGGAATGGCGTTCCTGCTGTGGAAAAAGTGCAGGAATTCCGTTCCCACGCGTTCCTGCAGGACTCGAGACCTGGTCAGGGCTTGACTTCGGGGGGTTAAATGAGCAAATCACAGAAGCACTCGCACAATACCTGCGAACCATGTGCTCCACCCTAGCACCGCAGCTGGAGGCCGCAGCCTGGACCCTAGATAGGGTTCACAGGCTTCCCAGACCAGCCAGATTCACAGCGGACACTCCTAAGGACGTGATAGCACGCTTTCACTATTACACGTCAAAAGAAGCTATCTTTTCATCTACAAGGAAAATGGAACACCTACCAGAACCCTACCAAAAAATCAGCATCTACGCCGACATCTCAGTGACAACCATGGCCAAGAGGAGAGAGTTTATTAACATCACCAAGACCCTGCGAAACCATCAGGTACCATACAGATGGGGCTACCCAACCAAACTGCTGATATGGCATAGAGGCAAAACAGAAGCAATTCTGGAACCTGAAGCCGGCATGGCGAAACTTAAAGAATGGGGCCTCCACCACAACATGGGTCACCAATCCCCTCAGAAAACACAGCTGAAAAAGATGAGAGCTGAATGGTCCATGGTGGGCTCCCCTTCGCACCCAAACATGCATACCGAGGACTGATCACATAAACCCACCGCGGCTCACCGGATCTGCTGAACCACTTAAGTATTCCTCATTAATGTTTGACTCATGTTACTTTTGACCTCTCCATGCAAAGATAGCAGCATTAAGTGACTTTGACTCTAGGGGGTAAATGGCAAATTGTTATGTAAATGGTTTACTGTTCTAGGGTGTGTATACATAGCATGAAACCGTATGTGAATAGGGAACTAGCTGCACACGGTCCTATTGCAAATAGGCACTTAGCACACACCTGTCTAGTTGCTGTATGACCTAAGAGCAGCACTGAGGTGTGCGCAACTGAATACCACCACAAGCCCCAACTTTAACTCAACTACTGGGCACACAACGCTAATAATAGGGAATAACCGTGTATTAAGGCCCAAATGCCCGCTAAGCTCCCAATGCCATACCACGAAGTGCACAATCACATGTAGATACAAGACACCTGCTGGTACCAGCTAATACCCACACCTAATCCTGGAAAACCATACACCACTCATACACAAACTACAGACACAACTAGAAGCATGGCAAAATCTGGAAATATCTTGGCTGGGAAGAGTAAATACCATCAAGATGATGGCACTCCCCCACGTCCTATACCTATTCCGCACCATACCTATAGCGCTTGGAGACAAACTATTAACCCGTTAAGGACCAAACTTCTGGAATAAAAGGGAATCATGACATGTCACACATGTCATGTGTCCTTAAGGGGTTAAACAAGTTCCAAAACCTCTTTAACGCATACATATGGAAGAAAAAACCTCCAAGAATAGCCAAACGGCTAACGTGGCTATCACCAAATAAGGGGGGTCTGGGAGTCCCAAACATCAGAGCATATTACAGAGCAGCGGCCATGACTCAAGGGCTAGACATAGTCTCCCGACCTACACCGCCAATATGGGTCCACTTAGAAAATGCATGCATACGACCATACACTTTAGACTCCCTGCTAAGATCATTCACAATATGGGACACCACCAAACATAAACCTATGGAGAGCACTAAATTTCTGATACATAGCTGGATGAAATGGCCAAAAATTCTCATGGGAGTAGATAACACCCCAATACAAACAATCTCGGAGCTCTCAGAAAATATCAATATGGGTCCATGGATCCAAAAAGGCATCATATCAATAACGCAGCTATATACGGAAAAGGGACTAAAACCCTTCCCTGACCTTCAGAAGGAGTTTACACTACCCTCCAAAGATTTGAACTTGTACATTAGACTCAAACACATCCTCCATACGCTCCAAATCAAACAATGCGATACCTCCCAACTTACTCACTTTGGTCTACGCTGTACAAGCAAAACATCTATCCCTCTGCTACAGGGCGCTGAACGATAGGGACCCACTGACTAAACACAAATATATAACACAATGGGAGAACGACCTCCACATTAACATCCCCACACCGCTCTGGTTACAAGCCATGCAGACAACAAAAAAATCATCCCACAGCTTGTCCCTATGGGAAGCCTACAATAAAATGATAATGAGATGGTACTTCGTGCCGACCAGGTTAGCAGCCATGTATACGTCGGTCTCCCACACCTGCTGGAGATGTGAACTTCATACTGGCAACATATATTCTGGGAATGCCCGCTACTGGAGAAATTCTGGAAGACAATTAGTAAAGCTGTAAATATTATATCGACTCATAAGATTCCATTTACACCAGAATGCTACCTTCTCCACATATCCCCTGAACTACTCTCTGACAGGAATAACCATGTCATTATAAACATACTGACAGCAGCAAAAACTAGCATAGCAACCCATTGGAAAAGCAAACACACCCTATCCCCCACGGAGGCTTGGAATAAACTTGAGACCATAGCAGACTTCGAACAGATGGCATACAGACGGGACGGACAAACTGACACATATGCCAAAACATGGACAAGTTGGACAACACACAACAGCTGAAAAAACTCACATAACAACAGTAGACCTGACAGGCCATCGGACACGCAGACAATAGCACATACCTGGGATTACACCGTATGGGTCGAATATGCCCCCCCCCCCGCTCCATACATACCCCCACACAAATGACTGCTGCGAACGACCTAACGAGCGCAAACCGGCTACCCCCCCATACCTAGCTAACCCCTATTCACCAAATAAGTGGAACATATCACACAAAGGTTTACCAGGATCACTCAACAAGCTGTACAATATGTTAGCCGCACGACGGATCCGGGTTAAAGTTATTAGTTCAAAATCTTATGATATGTACAACTGATTAAACCTACTGCGGCATGTGCCAACAACCCGCATTCAACAACTGTTTTCAATAACTGTTTATGATATATGCAAAATGTAGCTGCAGTTCCTTTGTGCATTATGTATGTAATGTTACCCCCCCTTCCTTCTGTACCCCCAAGTATTTCTTTTCCTGTGAAAACAATAAAACCTAAATATGGGGGGGGGGGGAAAAACTACCTGCCTAATTTTGTGTTGGTCCCTCTAGTGCTGCTAAAATAGCTCTGATGTGTCGAGGCATGGCCTCCACAAAACTTTTAAGCGTGTCCTGTGGTATCTGGCACCAAGACATCAGTGGGGCCTCCATGGATAGGATTTTTGGTTCCACCCAATCACACAGATGCTCAAACGGATTGAGATCTGGGGAATTAGGAGACCAAGGCAACACCTTGAACTCTTTGTCATATTCCTCAAACCATTCCTCAACAATTTTTGGAAAGTATCAGGCTGCATTATCCTGCGGAAAGAGACCACTGCCATGAAGGAGTGTACGTGGTCTGCAATTTCTAGGTAGGTGATATGTGTCAAAGTAACAACCACATGACTGCCAGGACCCGTGGTTTCCCAGCAGAACATTGCCCAGAACATAACACTGATTCCGCTGGCCTGCCTTCTTCTCTTCTGCTGCTATCTCTTTCCCAGATAAATCTCCATCTTTTGTACAACTCTCATAATTCAATGCCAGCTGTGGATTTACCACTTGCCCATCGTTGCAGGCTTCTATTTGTTAGTATCATTTTTTTAAATTAAAAAGAAACTGTGCAGCCGGTATAAACAAAGAAGAGGTAACCCCTAGGTAAGAGGAGCAAAAAACAAGTTGCAAGAGAGTGCTGAGAATGGACAACAGCTCAATTAGCCTCCCCTAAGGTGGGTCCCCGCTCAGTTCTCAAGCTGGTTTTAGCTCATCTTGTGCCAATATAGAGAGAACCAGGCCATGCATCTCAGACTGATTCCACCCAAAAGGGCAGAACGGATCCGAAATACAGGCCGGCAAGAGATACAGCAACCCCAGATGATCGTTTCAACCTTGTAAGGCATCATCAGTGAGGTATAGCCAATATCTCTCTTGGCACCGTAAGCAAGGGGTCCACGTCTGGATTACCCTTGAAACTTAAAGGACCACTATAGGCACCCAGACCACTTCAGCTTAATGAAGTGGTCTGGGTGCCAGGTCCAGCTAGGTTTAACCCTTTTTGCTGTAAACATAGCAGTTTCAGAGAAACTGCTTTGTTTACAAATGGGTTAATCCAGCCTCTAGTGGCTGACTCATTGACAGCCGCTAGAGGCACTTCCACGCTTCTCACTGAGATTTTCACAGTGAGAAGACGCCAGCGTCCATAGGAAAGCATTGAGAATGCTTTCCTATGGACTGGCTGAATGCTCGTGCGGCTCTTGCTGCGCATGCACATTCAGCCGATGATGGAAGAAGAGGGAGGAGAGTCCCAGCACCGAGGAAGCCCGGTGCTTGAAAAAAGGTAAGGGATTAACACCTTCCTCCCCCCTCAGCGCCACGGGTGTGGGACCCTGAGGGTGGGGGCACCCTTAGGGCTCTATAGTGCCAGGAAAACAAGTATGTTTTCCTGGCACTATAGTGGTCCTTTAAGGAGAGCCAAAAAAAGTTGCAAGAACGGACAACAGCTCAATTAGCCTGCCCTTCGGTGGGCCCCCGCTCAGTTCTCAAGCTGGTTTTAGCTCATCTAGGTAAGAGGTCTAGTACAGAAATAATAAAACTTCACTTTTATTCATAATAACACAAGTCTAGGTATTGGGTAGGAATGTGCATGGGAAAAATAATCGGTTCGGTTCGGCATTCCAAAATTCAGGATTTCGGGACTTCGTAACTTCAAGTAGGGTTTGGTTAGGGTTGGTTTAGGGGTAGGGTTAGGGTAGGATTGGTTTAGGGGTAGGGTTAGGAATAGGGTTACCCTAACCCTACTCCAACCTTAACCCTACCTTAACCTTAACCCTAAACCTAACCCTACTCCAACCACTAACCCTACCCCAACCCTTAACCCTAAACCTAACCCTACATCTACCCCAATCACTAATCTAACCCTGCCCCAACCATAAACCTAACCCTACCTCTACCCCAACCACGAACCCTACCCTAACCTCAATCCTCTCTTGTTTTGCCTCTTTTCAGAAATCCGAAGCACTTCGGCACTTACGAAATTCAGCAGTTCGGACATTTGGAAACATCTGAATGTCCGAACTTCTGAAACTCGTCCGAATTTGCATTCGGAACTAAACGAATTGCACATGTCTAGTATTGGGCACTAAATAAATTATATAGAATAGGGTCATATAACAACCAGTAGTATCAACCCAAGAATATGCAAAGGGCGTATAAATACTTTTTTTTTAGCAAAGTAAGATAAACACAGAATCCACCTTTAAATGGGTTGGTGAAGGGGAACAGTAGCTCTTGTAGAGATTTGTAACAGAGTAGCAGCTCTGATATAACAATTTTTAGATACTGTGAGTCTACAAAATAGACAATCTGCTGTTAGTGTGCTCAAAGAAAATACTGGTAAGAATAAAGTCACCTTGTAAGACAGAGATCTGAATTATTATTGGGATAGAATAGTATGTATATTAAAGGCAGAATGATAAAGACAGCACTTAAAGGAAAACTATAGTTTCCTTTAAGCAGTGGTGTACACACAATCCAATCCATACAGAGACACAGACACATAGAGAGACACAGACACATACACACACAGATAAATGCAGACACATTCATAGACACACACACAGATACATACAGACACATACATAGACACATACACTCGCAAAATATTTTAGTCACCCTCCTATTACCTACCTTTGAGGTGCAGGAGGGTGACTTCCCTGGGGTCCAGTGGCTCATGTTGATTAGAGTCAGAGTTCCCACTCTGACTCCTTCTACTTTCTTCCGCGTGGCTCCAGGTGGTTGCTGGGAGGAGTGACCGCGGCAGTCACTTTCTTCCAGCGCCTGACATCATCAGAGGAGGCCCAGTCGCACTTTTACCAGGCCCACTCTGATGATGATATTCATTTCCATCGGGTGGCTCTAACAGCATGGGCCACCCGATGGGCCCTTTCACCTGCCGCCCCGGCAATTATATTCCGTGACTAGGGCCGCAACACATGGCAGTGGGCACCCGGTCGCAGAGGTTTGCAGGGCGGCCGGGCCCCCTGGAATGACGGGCTCGGTTGCAGCTGGGACCCCTGTGACCGCGGTATGTACACCGCTGCCTTTAAGTACTATAGTATAAAGTGTAAGATCCTGATATCCACAAGTGAATATAACAGAAAAAGAGAAGAGGAAAAGACAGATATTCAATCAATAAATGAATTAATAATCAAGCTCTAAAACTGGAAACATTAGGAATTCACCAAATCCTATAAAACATAAAAGCAATACTTTTATAGGGTATCCAGGAGCTATAAATTGAAAGTGAGACACGCATAATAACGTTAGGTAAAAATAGAACGTAAATAATTAGCAATAAAAATGACAAATGAAGTATGCAGATTTGTATGCAGGTTACTATTTGATAAAATCACTACAATTGAGAAGTCCAAAACAGAGTCCAAAAGGAAGTAATACTTCGATTTGCAGAACATATATCTATCCCAACAGATCTAAAAACAAGGACTCATAGATCCATTGGAACTAAATATATAGATATATATATTCTGCAAATCGTAGTATTACTTCCTTTTGGACTCTGTTTTGGACTTCTCAATTGTAGTGATTTTATCAAGCAGTAACCTGCGTACTACTCTACATACTTAATTTTCATTTTTATTGCTAATTATTTGCATTCTATTTTTACCTAACTTTATTACGTTTATCTCACTTTCAATTTATAGCTCCTGGATACCCACACTTTATGGTGTATTGCTTTTAAGTACTTTAGAGTTAGGAATATAAATACCATATTTTTTCATGTACAAGACTATGTTTTTTTTCTAATTTATTTAGTCAAAAATTGAGGGTCATCTTATAGACGGAATGTCACTCTAGGGGTTAAAAAAAACACTTGTGCGCGGTGTTGCGGTGAGGGTGCATAGTTCATTATTGCACTATGGAATATTTGGTAGAGGTGGTATTGTCAATGTCAAAAGGGGTTAATTTGATTGTATGGAAGGTCAGAAGGTTTATAGCCTTAATTCCTGTTTGAAGCTGGGACCGCCACATAGGTCAGAAGACAGAAGGGGTAATGTAAATAGCATAGGAATGAAAAGGGAAAGATGGATCTGCAAAGTGTGAGATGCTACACTTGAAAAGCCTGAATGTCTGGCTTCAGCCATATGGCCTGTACTTCTTAATTGATGAGTCAATCTCTTTGATATGTTAATGACCATTAGCCTTGTTCCAGTATCATATCCAAAAGAAAAAAAACATTAATATTTACCCACAGAATAATAATTTTTGTTATATTTGGAATTTGACAAGTGCCATCTTCTAAACAAGCCCAAACAAGTTTGGCATAACTTAACCATAGGGGAAGGGATTGTGATGTTCGCTATATTAAGTCGCAAGATGATAATATTAAATATATGCTTACTAATGCAAGGAGCCTATATAACAAAATGGGGGAACTAGAGGCAATAGCATACGCTAAACAATATGAAATAATAGGCATAACAGAAACATGGTGGGATGAGACACATGACTGGGCAGTTAACTTAATTGGGTACACGTTATTTAGGAAGGATAGGAAAAACAAGAAGTGTGGTGGGGTATATTTGTATGTCAACCATGAGTTAAAGTCAAATCTTAGGCATGTGGAGTGTGACGAGGAAAATGTGGAAGCTTTATGGGTAGATAGATATCTGCTTGGGGCAAACAAAGGGAAGTCAATTATTGGTTGGGATATGTTTTAAACCACCTAATGTAAATATTAATGAGGATGAACAGCTGTTAGAGCAAATTGGGAAAGCTTGAAATTGGGGTAACACGTTAATTATTGGAGATTTTAATTACCCGGACATAAATTGGGATAGAGTGACAAGTACTTCAGCAAGTGGAATCAGATTTTTGAATGTGCTAAATGACACCTTTATGTCACAACTGGTACAAGCACCAACTAGAAGGGATGCTTGTCTGGATCTCGTTATAACAAACAATGTTGATCTTTTGACCAACATTCAAGTAGGGGAGCATTTGGGAAATAGTGATCACAATATGGTAATTTTTTAAATAAACTCAAAAAAGCAAAAGCATGTGGAGTATACTAGAACGTATAATTTTAAAAAAGCCAATTTCAATAAGATTATGGCAGCTCTACAACATATCGACTGGCATAAACTCCTTAGTGAAAAAAACACTGAGGATAAATGGAAACTATTCAAACAAATATTAGAAAGGTACATTTCTCAGTATGTACCAATGGGTAATAAATATAAAAGAAACAAATTGAAACCAATGTGGCTTAGTAGAGAAGTAAAACAAGAGATTAAAAATAAGAAAAGGGCATTTAAATCGGACAAATCAGAGGCATCCTATATAAGATATAAGGAAGCCAATAATACTTGCAAAAAGGCCATTAAAGTGACTAAACTAGAAAATTAGAAATTGATAGCCAAAGAATGCAAAACCAAACTCAAATTTTTTTTCAAGTACATCAATTTAAAAATAAAACAAAAAAATTAAAGTGTAGGTACACTGGAAAGAGAGATGGGCATGTTAGCTAAGACCAGGAAAAGGCAGATATTTTAAATTACTATTTTTCTTCAGTATATATTAATGAGGATCCTATGGCAAGAGATATGCAAATGATTGCTGCAAAAAACTTGCAGATAACTTGTGATTGGATGACTCAAGACAAGGTTCTACAGCTGTTAAAGAAAATTAATGTAAATAAAGCTCCAGGGCCTGACGGTATTAACCCACGAGTACTTAAGGAGCTAAGTGGGGAAATAAGTGAACTTCTGTATTTCATTTTTCAAAAAATGTTTGTTTCAGGTATTGTACCGGAGGATTGGAGGAAGGCAGATGTTGTTTCTATATTAAGAAAGGGTTCATAATCTTTGCCTGGAAATTATAGACCTGTGAGCTTATCTTCTGTGACTGGGAAAATATTTGAAGGGCTATTAAGGGATTATATTCAGGAATTCATTGGGAAGAACTTTGTTATTAGCAATAATCAGCATGGTTTTATGAAACATAGGTCATGTCAAAATAATCTAATTGCATTCTACAAAGAAGTAAGTAGAAGTATAGATCAGGGTGTTGCAGTAGATGTGATCTACTTGGATTTTGCCAAGGCATTTGATACGGTCCTCACAATAGGTTAGTTTTCAAACCAAAATTAAATTGGTCTAGATGATTATTTTTGTCCTTGGGTAGAACATTGGCTTAAGGAGTTGTCATAAATGATAAATTTTCAGGCTGGACAAAAGTGGTAAGTGGTGTCCCACAGGGTTCTGTTTTGGGATCACTTCTATATTTCATATTTATAAATTATCTTGAAATACACATTGAAAGCCATGTTTCAGTGTTTGCAGATGACAGAAAACTTTGTAAAGTAATAAAATGTGAGCAGGATATTGGATTTGGATAGATTGGGGGACTGGACACTAAAATGGCAGATGAAATTTAACGTAGTAAAATGCAAAGTTATGCACTTCTGGGTCAAGAATGCACAAGCAACTTACAACCTAAATGATAGTGAGTTAGGGATAACCACACACGAGAAGGATTTAGGAATTGTTATAGACAACAAATTAGGCAGCAATATGCAATGTCAATCTGCAGTTGCTAAGGCCAGTAAGGGTTTGTCATGTATAAATAGGGGCATACATTCTCAGGATGAAAATATAATTTTGCCTCTTTATAAATCGCTATTACCCATAAATATGCTGTGCCATTTTGGGCACCTGATCTAAAGAAGGATATCATGGCACTAGAAAAAGTGCAGAGACGAGCTACACAATTGATAAAAGGAATGGAGCATTTTAGTTACGAAGAAAGGTTAAACAATGTAAATCTCTTTAGTTTGGAAAAATGGCGTCTCAGAGGGGATATGATAACATTATACAAATATATTCGGGGGCCAGTACATCTGGAAATCTATTCATAAACAGGGCTATACATACGACACAAGGTCACACATTTAGGCTGGAAGAAATGAGATTTCATCTAAGGCAAAGAAAAGTCCACACACATAGAAACATAGAATGTGACGGCAGATAAGAACCAATCGGCCCATCTAGTCTATCCAATATTTAAAAAATACTTTTAATTGGTCTGTGGCTTTATCTTAAGTCTAGGATAGCCTTATGCCTATCCCACGCATGCTTAAACTCCCTCACTGTGTTAACCTCTACCACTTCAGCTGGAAGGCTATTCCATGCATCCACTACCCTCTCAGTGAAGTAATATTTCCTGAAATTATTTTTAAACCTTTGCCCCTCTAGTTTAAGACTATGTCCTCTTGTTGTGGTAGTTCTCCTTCTTTTAAATATAGTCTCCTCTTTTACTCTGTTGATTCCCTTTATGTATTTAAATGTTTCTATCAAATCCCCCCTATCTTGTCTTTCCTCCAAGCTATACATATTAAGTTCCTTTAACCTTTCCTTGTAAGTTTTTTCCTGCAATCCATGAACAAGTTTAGTAGCCCTTCTCTGAACTCTCTCTAAAGTATCAATGTCCTTCTGACGATACGGTCTCCAGTACTGCATACAATACTCCAAGTGAGGTCTCACCAGTGTTCTGTACAATGGCATGAGCACTTCCCTCTTTCTACTGCTAATACCTCTCCCTATACAACCAAGCATTCTGCTAGCATTTCCAGCTGCTCTATTACATTGTCTTCCTACCTTTAAGTCATCTGAAATAATTACTTCTAAATCCCTTTCCTCAGATGTTGAGGTTAGTAGGGTACCAATTATCCTATATTCCGTCCTTTGGGTTTTTACGTCCAAGGTACATTATCTTGCACTTATCCACATTAAATGTCAGTTGCCACAGCTCTGACCATTTTTCTAATTTTTCTAAATCATTTGGCTTATCCCTCCTGTTGCAATTTTTTGTATCGTCAGCAAAAAGACATACCTTACCATCAAGACCTTCTGCAATATCACTAATAAAAATATTAAAGAGAATTGGTCAAAGTACAGATCCCTGAGGTACCCCACTGGTAACTAGACCTTGCTTTGAATATACTCTGTTGACTACAACCCTCTGTTGCCTGTCATTTAGCCACTGCCTAACCCATTCAACAATATTGGAATCCAAACTTAAAGATTGCAGTTTATTGATGAGCCTTCTATGTGGAACAGTGTCAAAAGCCTTACTGAAATCTAGGTAAGCAATGTCTACTGCACCACCCTGATTTATTATTTTAGTTACCCAACCAAAAGAATCTATTATTTTAGTTACCCAACAAAAAATAGACCACCCTGATCTATTATTTTAGTTACCCAACCAAAAAAATCAATAAGATTGGCATGATCTCCCTGAAGTAAACCCATGTTGTCTCTGATCTTGAAATCCATGTGTTTTTAGATGTTCAACAATCCTATCCTTTAACATGGTTTCCATTACTTTCCCCACTACTGAAGTAAGGCTTACTGGCCTATAGTTGCCTGACTCCTCCCTACTACCTTTCTTGTGAATGGGCACAACATTAGCTAACTTCCAATCTTCTGGGACTACTCCTGTTAACAATGATTGGTTAAATAAATCTGTTAGTGGTTTTGCTAGTACACCACTAAATTCTTTTAATAACTTTGGGTGTATCGCATCAGGCCCCATCGACTTATTTGTCTTTACTTTTGACAGTTGAAATAGAACCTCTTCCTCTGTAAACTCACATGTAACAAATGGCTCATTTGTCCTTTTTCCTAACTGAGGCCCCTTTCCTTCATTTTCATCTGTAAATACTGAACAAAAATATTCATTGAGGCAATCAGCTAGACCTTTATCCTCTTCTACATACATTCCTTCTTTTGTTTTTAATCTAAATAATCCTTGTTTTACTTTCCTTTTCTCATTTATGTATCTAAAAAATGTTGTTTTATCACCCTTTTTTACTGACTGTGCTATTTTCTCTTCTGTGTGTGCTTTGGAGGCTCTTATGACTTGCTTAGCCTCTTTCTGCCTAATCTTATAGATCATTTTGTCTTCCTCACTCTGGGTTTTTTTATAATTACTAAATGCTAACTTTTAGTTTTTTACTATTTTGGCCACATCTGCGGAGTACCACAGTGGTTTCTTAATTTTTTTGCTTTTACTGACAAGCCTAATGCAATTTTCTGTTGCCTTCAGTAGTGCAACTTTTAAATAATCCCATTTCTCCTGGACTCCATTTAAACTGCTCCAGTCTGACAAGGACTCCTTTACACATATTCTAATTTTAGAAAAGTCTGTTTTTCTAAAGTCTAAAACCTTTGTTTTTGTGTGGTGTGACTCAGTCACTGTTCTTATATTAAACCACACTGACTGGTGATCACTGGATCCTAAATTTTCACCTACAGTAATATCTGATACCAAATCTCCATTTGTAAACACTAAATCTAGTATGGCCTCCTTACGAGTTGGTTCCTCAACAAGTTGTTTTAGAGACAATCCCAGTATGGGGTTTAGAATATGTGTGCTCCTGGCACAAGCAGCTATTTTGGATTTCCAGTTAACATCAGGAAGATTAAAGTCACCCATAATGATAACTTCCCCCTTCATTGTTATTTTAGCTATTTCCTCAGCTTGTAGATGATCTAACTCTTCTATTTGTCCTGGGGGCCTGTAAATCACACCCACATGAGTTACTGTGTGATTACCAGTAACTAACGTAACCCAAACGGACTCTATGTTCGCCTCACTAACTTTTATTAGACTAGATTATATGCTATCCTCACATACAGGACCACCCCTCCCCCTTTCTTGCCTTTTCTGTCTTTTCTATATAAAGAGTACCCTGGTATTGCTATGTCCCAGTCATTTTTCTCATTATACCATGTCTCAGTAACAGCGACTAAATCTACATTCTCAGTTGCCATCATAGCCACAAGTTCATGGATCTTATTCCTTAAACTGCGAGCATTTGTAGACATGACTCTAAGCGTATCATTTTTTCAACACACTTTTTACAGTTACTTTCTGTTTTTGTTTTGGGGGGCAATTGGATTGATGTTTTATCACCCTTTTGTCCTCCCCTCCTAGTTTAAACACTTCCTAGCAAAACCTCTGAACTGCTCGCTGAGAACATTTGTTCCCTTTTGAGAAAGATGCAAACCATCTATTTTGTACAGTTAATTTCTATTCCGAATAGAACTACCGTGAGAAACAAAGCCAAATCCTTGCTCCCGACACCATTCACCAAGCCACAAGTTAAAGTCCCTTATACGCATCCACCTGTCGTTCTGAGTGTTATGAACAGGCAGAACTTCAGAGAATAACAGTGTGGAAGCAACCTGCTGTATATTATTGGCAAGAACACAAAACTCTTCTTTTACCTCAGAAACCTCATTACAAGCCAAATCATTTGTCCCAAGATGGACAAGTACATCCAATTCCCCTTCCTGCTTTGCTTGCTTAA